ATTTCATAAGATTAAACAATGAAATCGACGTATGAGAGTGGTTTGTACGTTTTTACAAATGATAGTAGTTTTCATTTGATCGCTCCTCTATATATATATATATATATATATATGTATCTATATATGTAATTTTACATATATATATATATATATATAGATGTATGTATCTAAATCTATCCATCTATATCTATATATCTAATTTTAAACACACACACACATATATATATATATATATATGTATGTATCTAAATCTACACATCTCTATATATATCGAGGAGCGTTCAAATAAAAACCACTCAATTTGTACAAACCGTGTAAACCTCATTCAACCAATCATAATTTTTCATTTTGTTCATGTTTTTGTAATTATGAGAGGTTGATTAACCATTTTTATTGTGGAGGGTGTTAATCATGTATATTATCATCTTCCTTACTTTAATTTTAAATAAATACATGAAACAGTTTCATTAAAATTTATATGAAACAATTTCATTACCATATATGAAACAAATTCATCAAAAAAAGTATTATATGAAACAATTTCACAAGATTAAATAATTTCATGAAAAAGTTCCATAAGATTAAACAATGAAATTGACGTATGAGGGTGGTTTGTACGGTTTGTACAAATGAGGGTGGTTTTTATTTGATCGCTCCTCTATATATATCTATATATCTAATTTTATATATATATCTGTATGTATCTAACCCTTGGACCCCGCCACCGGGGCCCCAGACCCCCGTCATTTAGGGGCTTCGCCCCTAAATCAAAATAAATTCAAATAAGTGTGCACCCCGCACCTTCCTTACCTGTTCGATATTTATCATGATTACATTGGTCAACAATTTAATCATATTACACTTAAATGACATTAGTGATACAAATCATCAATATGAAGTCATCAGATATTGGTTATTTCTCAGACTTACAACATAACTCTGAATTGTTCTGTTCCAAACTTAGTTATATAGTTTATTTCCAGACTTGGAGTTAGAAGACAACTCTGAATTCCTCTTATTCAGAGTTAAGTCCAAAGTTATTTTTCAGCCTAACAATAGAATTCTGAATTCTTGTGTTCTAGAGTTAATGTTCAGAGTTAATGTCCAGAGTTTTTCTCATTTAAAATACCCCGTGTAATACATGGGGTCGAACCTAGTATATATATATATATACATATATATATAGGGGTTTAATCAAATGAGAACTTTTTTGTTTGTGGTAACAGTGAGATCCAATCTCAACCAATCATTTTAATATATTAATTATTATTTTTAAATTAATGTAAAATGGCATGTTAGTAAATTACTAAATTTAGATTAAATATTTATTTATTAATTCCATACATTTCAAACTTCCAATTAATTTTGATTTTACATTCCTAACTTACCAAATGAAACCACAATCTTTTGGGTAGCACATGAAACTATATTCTTTTTTACCACAATGTAACACAACATCTGATACCTAATACATTATTGGTATTGTAAAACCTTGTCCCGCATCAGTAACTATTGGAATTTGTAGCCCCATATCACTTATGAGTTCTTGGTTGTAGGCTACCAAAGAATTTTCACCATGGATTTAGTGATTTGAAGGTTGTCTTGTATGGTTTGCTACTATGTGATTCAGATACTACACAAACTGTAGTTGAATGCTCAATGAGTGGATTATTTTCTTGTGTTTATGCAACAACTTCACATCTCTGTTGAAACCACAATCTTTTGGGTAGCACATGAAACCACAATTTTTTTACCATAATGTAAACACAACATGTTCAACCAAAGCCTACAAATTGTTTTCCACCTCTTCTCACACAATCAACATGATCTTTTGTGTTTTTTGTTTTGATTTGATGAAATATAATTTTAGAAGATTAATGGATTTCTAGGGCGCTCAAAATAGTTTCATTAAATTAAAAACAAATTTTGACCATTTTGCCTTTATTTACATACTCACATTAAATATTGGAGAGTTATTTTTGGAATTTCAGTAATTAATTTTTTTTTTATTTTCAACCATTAATTATTAATTTGTGTGGTAACTGTGGTTGAGATTGGATCTCATGGTTATCACAAATAACTCAGTTCTTCTTTGAATAGACCTATATATATATATATATATATATAAATAAATAAAGATTGATGATTCAAATTTAAATTTATTTTATTTTTTTGGTTTTTGATTTGATTGAATATACCTTCCACGATCCAGTTACATAAAAATTTAATGCTTAGCTAAATTTGTTCCTATATATCCCCCCACATCTATTTGCTTAAGTACATGTTTTCTGAAAATGGATTCATCAACTGATGATATCGTCAAAGAAATCCCTGGTGTAATTCGAGTATACAAAAATGGCCGAGTCCAAAAACTCCTCGCTACCAATGTTGTTCCCGCCGGTCTCGATCCTTCCTCCGGCGTTCAATCCAAAGACGTCTTATTCTCATCCGATAAAACTCTCTCCGCTAGGCTTTACATTCCCAAATCCACGAATGCCGTTACTAGAAAACTCCCCCTTCTTATCTACTACCACGGCGGCGCATTCATCGTCGCAACCGCCGCTTCCCGCATCTACCACAACTTTTTAAACCTCATCGCAGCGGAATCCAATGTGGTCATAGTTTCCGTTGACTACCGAACGGCGCCAGAGCATCCCGTCCCCACCTGCTTTCAAGATTCCTGGGAAGCAATCAAGTGGGTGGAGCAACATGTTAACCAAAATGGTCCCGAGCAATGGCTTAACAAATACTCTGATCTCGGTCGTGTATTCTTCTGCGGCGACAGTACGGGTGCCAATATCGCCCATCACATGGGCATCCGGATTGGGACTGAAAATCGGAGCGGGGGCATTTATCTACAAGGGATAATACTGCTCCACCCGTACTTTTGGGGAAAGGATCGCGTCGGGTCTGAACCGCGCCAACATCCATTGATGAGAGTGATAAGGGATTTATGGTTGTTTGCCCACCCGGATACGATCGGGTTAGATGACCCGTTAATTAACCCGGCATTGGATCCGAAAGTGGCGGATCTTGGATGCTCCAGGGTGTTGGTTTGTGTTGGAGAGAAGGATATATTGAAGGATAGGGGATGGTATTACAAAATGATTTTGAGGAAAAACGGGTGGAGAGGAGATATAGAAATTTTGGAAGATAAAGGGGAAGTGCACACGTTTTTTCTATTTAAACCTTGTTCTCAAAATGCTTGTAATTTGCGCAACAGAATTCGTACTTTTATCAATCGCATCAAAGCCAAGGTCTAATCATTTTCATCTACAACCGGTTTTTTAATAAAATAGGAGAAGTGTTAATGACATCCCCTTAATAGGGACGCTTTGGAAATTGAACGCTCATTAAAAACATAAAATGTCAAAAGGGGGTGGCTAATAGTTAGCTTTTTTAATTGAACGCTTTTTTAATTGTTGTATTTAAGTTCTCCCTTTGTAATTGTCTTTGTAATAGTTAGCTTTGTTAATTTCTTAGTATAAATAGTCTTTAGCTAGCTAATTGTAATTAGTTCAGTTCAATTCAGATCAGTTCTTGGTTAATCATTTATAGAAATTCTCTCAAGAAATACAATATTCAACTTTGGTGAAAATCCCTCTCTACTCATCTTGATTGTGTTCTTGGATGATTAATCTGATTTGCATATTTTGGGAACATCAATTGGTATCAGAGCACAGATTGCAACAATTTGATAGAAGGATTACAATTTTTTCGACGAATTTTGCACTAATAATATAATATATTTTTTTATTTTTTTATAATATACATCAATATATATACTAGAAGAGTACTTACATAATGCAGCGAGATAAATCTCGTTTTCAATGGTTAGATTTATTTTGTCTCTATCGATATAATACGATTTTATGTGGTTTTGAAACGATAATGTTTTTATTTTTGAATGAAATATAAATTTGAAAAAATTAAATCGACATTAATATTAAATCAACTATTTGATAGTTTTTGTTTTATTTTTGTGTAACTTCTTTAATTTAATTTTTTGTTATAATTTAATTTAGATTTAATAACAAAGTAATTTATTTTTTGTTTAATAATATATTCTTTTATAAAGATTATAATTAAGCATTCTGTTAGAACTCAACGATTATCTTAATTATATTTTAGATTTTCTATATTTAAAATGGATGTTTATCCTATATTTGATTATTTTTATCTGCGGTTAGTTACACGAATTTAAAAATTGAGGTTTAATAAGTTGTACTAACGCAAAATTACTTGTAAGATTGAAGTTTAAATAATATGCATCAATAAAAAGTACGTAATGCATAAAAAATGGTTTTAAGAGTTTTTTTCAAATACTTTATAATATAGTATATATATATATATATATGATTCTTTATATTATAATATTTTATATAAAAAATATTTTATCATTATTAATATTACATATTTTACCATTATTGTTTTTATTTTATATATTAATATACCTACATACATACATATATATATATATATACTAGGTTCGAGCCCGTGTATTACACGGGGTATTTTAAATGAGAAAAACGCGGGACATTAACTTTGTATATATGACACACTTAACTCTTGAGTAAGAGCTCTCTGTCTCTTGATGTCTTCTACATGAGAGATCTTGGTCCAACCCGCTTCAAAAGACTAAGTCCTAAAGACTACAGTAAGAGACTCTGCATGTACTATATAGAGGCTTCGCATGTACAGTAAGAGGCTCTACATGTACTATTAAGAGGCTCTGCATGTACTATGTAGAGGCTATGTATGTACAGTAAGAGGCTCTGCATGTACTATGTAGAGGCTCTACATGTAATGTGTAGAGCCTCTGCATGTACAGTAAGAGGCTCTTCATGTACTATGTAGAGGCTCTGCATGTACAGTAAGAGGCTTTGCATGTACAGTAAGAGGATCTACATGTACTATGTAGAGGCTCTGCATGTACTATCTAGAGGCTCTGCATGTACTATGTAGAAGCTCTACATGTACTATGTAAAGTCTCTGTGTCTGGAGTGAAACTCTGCATCAAGCACTTAACTTTTTTGGTGTTTAAGCCTTGATCTTCCTTGGAATACAACACGGGCTCTGTATATAATACACTTAGCTCTTGAGCAAGAGCTCTGTCTCTTGATGTCTTCTACATGAGAGCTCTTGATCCAGCCCCCTTCAAAAGACTAAGTCCTAAGGACTACAGTAAGAGGCTCTTCATGTACTGTGTAGAGGCTCAGTGTCTAGAGTGAAGCTCTGCAACAAGCCAGGTCCTTCCTTGGAATACAGCACGAGCTCCGTATATGTGACACTTAACTCTTGAGTAAGAGCTCTGTCTCTTGATGTCTTCTACATGAGAGCTCTTGGTCCAACCCACTTCAAAAGACTAAGTCCTAGGGACTATAATAAGAGGCTCTACATGTACTATGTAGAGGCTTTGCATGTACTTTGTAGAGGCTCTGCATGTACAATAAGAGGCTCTGTGTCTGCAGTGAAGCTCTGCATCAAGCACTTAATCTTTTTGGCGTTTAAGCCTTGATCTTCCTTGGAATACTACACGGGCTCTGTATATGAGACACTTTACTCTTGAGTAAGAGCTCTGTCTTTTGATATCTTCTATATGAGAGCTCTTGGTCCAGCCCCCTTCAAAAGACTAAGTCCTAAGGACTACAGTAAGAGGCTCTGCATGTACAGTAAGAGGCTCTGCATGTACAGTAAAAGGCTCCGCATGTACTATGTAGAGGCTCTGCATGTACTATATAGAGTCTCTGTGTCTGGAGTGAAACTCTGCATCAAGCACTTAACCTTTTTGGTGTTTAAGCCTTGATATTCTTTCGAATACAACACGGGCACTGTATATGAGACGCTTAACTCTTAAGTATGAGCTCTTGTTGATCCTATCTCTCAGTGATTTGATGATAATCCCTTTTCTCTTTCACGTTGTATTTGTGTTTCTGTATTTTCAGTTCCAGCGATCTTCGCTGAGTATGTTCAGTGATCGCTGAAGAACTTGCATTGTAAATCCATCAGAGACAGCAATACTTCAAGAAGACAACACTCACACCAAAGAACCTTCAGCAAACGTCGAAGACTGAATCTGAAGATTAGAGACCGGCGAGTACGTGATCTGAAGCGTTATTCAGTTATTACAAGCCTGTCTACATATTTGCGAAGAGTGCTCAAGCTTTAGCGAATGATGATGAGACCTTTAGGTCATTCCAGCATTCAGCGATCAAAGAAAGTTTGCTTAGCACGATTGTTTTTGTCTTGTCCTTATGCACACAAAGGACAAAACCCATGCCCTTAGAAAAGTTGTACTGTACGGAGCCGACTAGTCGACTCTTTGTCCACCAACTTTAGGTAAGGATGTTTGCTCTTGAATAATGCTTTTGTACTATTCACTATAGCAAATGACAAGCTTTCCTCTTAAGGCTTGACACGCACTCTAAACCTACGATATTGCATTAAATGGACATTTAATGCACTGGTATAAATAGAAGTGTTTCTTCTCCATGCGGAGAGCGCGCATCTCTCTCTCTAACCTAATTCTTACTTCAAGCATCTTCTAGCTTAAGTAAAGGATCTTTCTTTTAGCAACTTCTTTTCTTGTAATTGCTAAAGCATTGTGTGTAACCAAAGATTGTTTAGATAGGTTTTTGTTACCTTATCTTTTCGTAAACAATCTTGTAAAATATGTATTGATCTTCTCTATCAATATATATCTTAAATTTGAAAATATTGTGTTTGTATTCATCCCCCCTTCTACAAACTGTTTCTCTTCTTGTMGACCCTTACGGGACCAACAAGTGGTATCAGAGCAGTGTTTTCTTTCTTTCCTTGTGTTTGGCTATTTTTYTGTATTAGTTTATCTCTTCTTAAATAACCTTACTGCTTACAAATGGCTTTACAAATTGCAAACACACATACACAAGATAATGGCTCTCTTGCCAAACCTCCCCGGTTTGTCCGTGACAACTTTAGTCTCTGGAAGAACCGGATGTCCCTCTTTCTGGAAGGTGTGGATCCTGAAATTCCACATTACATAGAAAATGGACCATATATATCATTTGCTATTGTTCCGGCTGTTCCAGCAACAACTACGACTGCCGCGATTCCTGAACAGCAGATTCCAAAGCTTCCACATCAGTGGAGCGATGAGGATAAGAAGAAGATAGCTATAAACACGCGTGCTCGGTCTATAATAGCTATGTCTCTTCCTGATGAGATCTATCACTCAGTGATGAAACTCAAAAATTCTAAATCTGTATGAGATACACTTTGTGTCCAATATGAAGGAACCACTCAGATTCAGGAGACTCATTAGATCTATCTAGTAAGACAGTATGAAAGCTTTCTCTGTGGAAAGTCTGAGACGCTGTCTGAAGTACATCAAAGATTTAATTTCCTTCTTATTGATCTTAGGGCTGTCGGCA